AACCACAGCAGCTAAACGTAGTAGTTCTGGTGTCTATAGCATGTCTTTGCAGGTTTTTTAATGTAAGCACTGCCATTTCGTAAAAAGGCAGTATTTACATTACTGCTGAGGAATACCTCTAGTTGACACTCAGATGGCCACTAGAGGTGCTTCCTAGTCGAGACATGAATGCCGCCCTATGAAGTATCTGAATAGAAGCGTTTTATTGCTCCCTGCTCGCACCCTCCTATTTCATCATTTTGACAAAATAGGGGGCGCGGCATCAGGAGGATCCCGGCGCTGTATCCAGGTAAGTAAAATCCCTTCCCTGTAGTGACCCTTTAATGTTATTATTAAATCATTTATATAGCAACTGCAAATTCCGCAGCGCTGTACAATGGGATAAACAACTCCTAGTTTACGGAATAAGAATATACCCGGCGAGTAAAAATGCTATCCCCCCCAGATTTTTTTGGGTTCCTACGCCCATGAGTTTGAGGGAGTTTGAGATGAAAAAGTTGTGTATGGTTGTTGATTTTAAATTACTGCAGATGGAACGGGCATTCCAAAGTGCACAATTAATTTTGGTAAGTGAGGGTAAAGGGCTGGGTGTTGTGATGAGGTTTGTGGGGTTTCTGGTTGTTTTAGTGTGTGTAGAGAGGGTGAAGGGGCCTGGATTGGGAGAGACATCACCAGCTGCTAGAAGTAGGAAGAGAGAAAGTGACAGGAGGTGTGAATGGGTTTTGTATGCGTGGGGGGGGTCTAGGATGAGATCGATTGTGGGTTGGAGTGAGAGAGTAGAAAAATGAGTGTAAGGCATGAGATGAGCGAAGGGCATATGTAAATGTCGATGGGGGGATGAGTGAAGTGTGTATAAGGAGAGATTTTTATACTGAGGGAGACTGAGGAAATAAAGAGGAGGAGAAAACAGATCATTGCTAAACTGTGAAAAATAAAAATTGGAGATAATTGGAATATCAAGAGCAGGTGAAGGTGTTTTATGCGTTAAGAACGTGCAGGAGTGTACTAATAAGAGGCAGTTTTTTTGTAACCTAACTAAAATGTAGGTGTGACAGACAATCTATAAATGTAATAATGAGCATGGGGTGGGAGGGCATCAGGCTTGCTCACTGAAGGAATGGGCTCACAAAGTTGGGGAATCAGGCTTTGCAGACGATCAGGCTTGCTCACTGAAGGAATGGGCTCGCAAAGTTGGGGAATCAGGCTGTTGAATAAAGAGATGTGAGGGTCAGAGAGCTTGCAATAAAGGTAAGGGAGGGGGAAATGTATCTAGGTACAGAGATGAAGAGATGGATATTCAAATAAAAACAAACATATCAATAAGAGAAGGGAGGGGTCAGAGGTCAGTCACAAATCAGAGGGGAAATAGAGGAATGCATATAGGTGAATAAAACAATTACATGCAGGGCTAGCAAAACTACACTTTAACATAAAATACAAGATATAAGTACAAGAAAACAAGAAAATATACAATGTACACAGGATATATTAAATAAAATAAATGTACAGGGTGGTTAAGTTAAAAACTTTAAATACATAAACTTGGCACACCATGGCAATCACTTTTAGATGCATAAACTTGGCACATCATGGCAAAAAGTTTTAGAGGCAGAAACTTTGCACATCATGGCAATCAGTTTTAGAGACCTACAACTGCTTACTCTCAGACTCAGAATCAGAAGTGCTGTGTCCTGCTCTTTCATTCAGGCACCTCACGTTGATTATCCCAGTGGTGGAACTAATGAAGAGAGGACGCTGGTGCAAGTTTGTTTTCTGGCCCCCCCTCTAGTGAAAGTGTGGCCAAATGGTAGACCTGGATCTGTCGGAGAACTTCAACAATGCTATGCCAGATGGAGATCTACCATTTGCACATCATTGCAGGGTTATATTTGTGAGCAGTGTTTGAATGTAAGCATGTTTTTGTATTAAGTATATGTGCGCGTGTATGGTTGTATTTGTATGTACTGTTGCTATTGGAATGTAGTGGTGTACTTGTTTGTAATGTTTGTTCCTGAATGTAGGGGTGTTTGTAGATCGTTTTAGTGTTTTAATGCAGGGGTGTGTTTGTATGTAATATTTGCGTTTGATTTGTGTGTATGTGGATGTGTAGTAGATGCAGTGTGTGTATATTGTGTTTATAAAATATACATATACACAATGTGTGTTTGAATGTAAGCATGTTTTTTGTATGGAGTATGTGTGCAGTGTATATACACACACAGACACACAAATACACACATTGACACAGCGAAACGCACAATGACACCTAGTTTCCCCCACACAGATACAGACACTCATGTACACAGATACACACAGACACACAAATACACACACACTGACACAAAAGGACACGCAGAGACAGGAGGTGAGGGTGACAGTGTTGGAGGGAGTGTGTGTACTGGTAACAGTGTGGGGGGCAGTTTGAGGGCAGGGTGAGAAAGGGTTACAGTGGGTGGGCAGGGAGAGAAAGAGTTACAGTGGGCAGGCAGGGGGAGAAAAGGTTTCAGTGTGGTCGGCAGTGGGAGAAAAGGAGACAGTGGTGGGGCAGGGGGAGAAAAGGTTACAGTGCAGGGAGAGGGGCAGGGAGAGAAGGGATTACAGTGTGGGGAGAGGGGCAAGGAGAGAAGTGGGTACAGTGTGGGGAGAGGGACAGGGAGAGAAATGGTTACAGTGTGGGGAGAGGGGCAG